GAGCTACAAACAACGATTTTTTTTTCCATTTTCTGTCATTTTCACCCTTGTCAAATCATTAAGTGGAATGCAAAATTCATAATATTTATGAGATATGAGCCACGATTTTTATTTATTTTCTTTCCATTCTACCAAATGACAAATAATTATGTAGAGTTCAAAATTCATGATTTCATGAGCTATAATCCACGATTTTGTCCATATTCTTTTGTTTTTAGCAAGTGGCAAATAATTAAGTGGGTGAAAAATTCATAATTTTTAGGAGAAATGACCCACAATTTTTGTTTTTTTCTTTGTTACGACCTGATGATAAATAATTATGTGGAATTCAATATTTCAAATTTCATGAGTTATAACTCATAGTTTTACCTAATTTTGTTCTTTCAAAGTTTAAAATTCACGATTTCATGAGCTATAACCCATAATTTTATCTATTTTTGTTTATTCCAATCTAATTTCAAATAAATAATTGAAGATCAAAATCATAATTTTCATGAGCTACAACATATGATTTTTATTCATTCTATTTATTTCGACCAAATGGAAAATATTTATGCGGAGTTCAAAATTCACGATGTCATGAGCTATAACCCATGACTTTTGTTTATTTTCTTTTGTTTTGACCTAATGGCAAATAATTATATAGAATCCAAAATTCACGATTTCATGAACTATAATCTATAATTTTTATCCATTTTATTCATTTCAACTTAGTGGAAAATTTTTTGAGGAGCTCAAAATTCATGATTTCATGAGTAGTAAATGATGATTTTTGTCTATTTTTGTTCTTTTCAATTTGGTGACAAATAATTAACCAAACTTAAAATTTTATAATTTTTATGAGCAATAAACCATAATTTTTTTATTTATTTCATCCTAATGACATATATGAGTTCAAATTTCACAATTTCATGAGTTATATTTTACTATAATTTTTATTCATGTTGACTCAATGATAGATATTTTGTGAAGTTCAAAATTAACAATTTCTTGAGCTATAACTCACGTATTTTGTCTATTTTTGTTTATTCTCAGCTAACGACAAATAATTAAGAAGAGTACAAAAATCGTGATATTTATGAGCTATAACCTATAATTTTTTATTTTTTTTGTTGTAATGACAAAGAACTTTTATGTAGTTTAAAATTCACAATTTTATGAACTATAATCCATATATTTTTTTCTATTTTTGTTTATTTTCACCCAATGGAGAATAACTAACTGGAGTGCAAAATTCATGATTTTCATGAGCTATAACTCATAGTTGTTATTCCATTTCGTTTATTTGGACCTAATGACAAATAATTATGTGGAGTTAAAATTCATGATTTCATGAGCCATAATCCGTGATTTTGTCCCTTATTTACCTAATGGAAAATAATTAAGTGGAGTACCAAATTCATGATTTTCATGAGCTATATGCCACAATATTTATTTATTTTCTTTCATTTTAACCTAATGATAAATAATTATGTGGAGTTTAAAATTTATGATTTCTTGAGTTATAATCCTTAATTTTTGCTCATTTTTGCTCGTTTTGACCCAATGGAGAAAAAATTTACGGAGTTTAAAATTCACGATTTCATGAGCTACTCACGATTCTTCTCTAGTTTTGTTTGTTTCAATACATTGACAAATAATTATTAGATGTTCAAAATTTATAATTTTTATGAGCTATAATTAATTCATAAGCTTTTTCCATTTTCTATTTTTTTCCCTTAATGAATAATAATTATGTGGAGTTCATTCTTGACGACTTTCTTACATTGACCTTATGAAAAATAATTTTTTGCCCATTTTTGTTTATTTCCACCCAATGGAAAGAATTAAGCGGAGCACAATTCATGATTTTCATGAGCTATAACCCATGATTTTTTAAATATTTTTTGTTTCGACCCTATAATAAATAATTATGTGAAGTTCAAAATTCACGATTTCACGAACTACAACCCATGATTGTTGTTCTTTTCGTTATAATGGCCAAGAATTTTGCAGAGTTAAAAAAATCATAATTTCATGAGTTATAACTCATGCTTTCTATTCATTTTTGTTTGTTTCAATACAATGACTAATAATTCATCGAAGTTCAAAATTCATAATTTTCGTGAGGTATAACCCATTATTTTTAATCAATTTTGTTTGTTTCATCTAATATCAAATATTATTGTGCAGTCCAAATTCGTAATTTAATAAGTTATAACCCACTATGTTTGTCTAATTTTTTATTTGCACACAATGACAAATGATTGAATGGAGTATAATATTCATGATTTTCATAAGTTATAACGCAAAATTTTCGTTTACTTTCTTCCATTTTGACATTATGGTAAATAATTATGTTGAGTTCTAAATTCTCGATGTCATGAGCTATAACCCATGATATATGCCCATTTTTTTTGTTTTCACCCAATGGAAAATAATTAAATGGAGTGCAAAATTCACAATTTTTGTGAGCTATAACCCACGATTTTTGTTCATTTTCTTTCATTTCAATCAAATGGAAAATAATTATGTGGAGTTTAAAATTCAAGATTTCATGCGCTATTATCTACCATTTTTTCTATTATTATTTGCTTCCTCCCAGTGACAAATAATTTATAAGAGCGCAAAAATGGAAAAAAAATTGTCTATAAAAATAATAAATGTTGAACTTTGCATACTTATTTTTTATTGGTTGAAGAACAAATTTTGGCAAAAATTATGAGTTATAACCAATGAAAATTAAGAAATTTTTGGTATGCATGACTAATTGTCATTGGGTCAAAACGAGCGAAAATGAGCAAATATCATAGGTTAGAAGCCCATAAAATCATGAATTTCAAAAGGTTTAATTACAGAAAACCTCTATGAACTTTTGGAGAGTTGTGTAAACCCCATAACCTTTTTTTATTACACTAAACTGACATGAACTTTAGGAGTTGTTGCATATAACCCCCATAAACTATTTTATTTCACTAAAATTTACATGATTTTTTTCTAGTTAATCTCCAAATTAGCAACTTCGCTTCTAACATCTCTTGAGGCAAGATTGTGCCCAAAAAAGATGAAAGTAATTCCTTTTTAATAAAAGGGTTTAAGACTAAGAATGAACTTTTCGTCCTTTTTTTGGGTCATATACTTTCTAGTGACACGTTAGAGTTGATGGTACCAATATGGGGATTAAAAGATAACTTAACAGGTAAGATTTAGTGAAATAAAGCAGTCCGTGGTGGTTATGTGTGATAACTCCTAAAGCTTAGGAGGGTTTAATAAAAAAAACGGATGAGGACTCCTAAAATGTTTATGGTCGTTTTCTATAATTAACACAATGAGAACTATGGTTACTTAAACAAAAAAAATAGACAAAAAATTATGGATCTTAACAAACAAAATTAACAAAAATCGTAATGTTTAAAGTGGGCATACCTTTGTTATTGTGATAAAATAAACGAAATTAACAAAATTGGGGATTAATGCCTATAAATCGCAAATTTTGAAGTATATATAATTATTTGTAATTAGATTAAAACAAATGATAGTCCATAAAAATTGTAGGTTATAACCAATAAAACTTGCAAAGTTACAAGCTTATGTCTAATTTATTGCCATTTGGTGGTAACAGACAAAAACTGACATAAATCATAGCTTATATATAGCCCATGAAAATTGTAAATTTAGAGGTACACTACTTATTTTCTAATGGGCCAAAGAAGGAAAATTAACAAAAATTATTGCTTATATCACATAAAAAATCACGATTTAAAAAAAAAGAACTTAATTGTCACTGGGTTGAAATGGAAAAAAAAGGACTTCGCTAGTAAAAATCACAAACTTCAAAGTAGACGAACTTATTTATCACTAGATCAAAGAAAGATAGTTGACCAAAGTACATGTCATAGCTCATAAAAATCAGGGTTTTTAATGAAAGTTTAATTGCAATTGCGTTGAAACTAACAAAAACAAATTACAATCGCTAATTATGCCCAAGTTCTTTATTATGCATGATTACTTGTCATTGGTTTGAAAGGAACAAAAATAAGCAAATATTATAATTTATAATCCATGAAATGGTAATTGTTGAAAATTGATTAGTTAATTGACATTGGATCGAAATGAAAAATAGATAAAAATCGTGAGTTATAACAAATGAACATCGTTAATTTTAAAGTTCACATACTTATTTATTTTTGGTTCAAAATGAAAAAAATTAATAAAAATCAAAGGTTATAGCCTCTAAAAATTGTGAATTTTAAAGTACATGTAATTTGTTGCCGTTCGGTCGAATAAAAAAAAAAAAAATCATTGGTTAACCTACGGAAATTTCAAAATTTCAGGTGTATGCCTAATTGTCATGAGGTCGAAATGGAAAAATGTTGACAAAATTTATGAATTAAGTCCCATTACAATCAAGTATCTTGAGATATGCACACTTATTTGCCAAGTTGAAGAATGAAAATTAACAAAAATTGTTGGGCATAGCTCATAAAAATCATAATTTTTGAATGAAAAAAAGAGAAAATTTAATCGTCATTTGGTCAAAATAAACAAAAATCATAGATATAGCCCGGGAAATTTACAAATTTTATAAATTATGGAGAATAGTCCATGAAAATATCAAAAAGACCGAAAAGCTTGAAAATTGACAAGGATTGTAAGTAAGACAGTGTAAGCTTTATATTTTCTGACTGTTACTGATGGGAATAATATAAGCTAAAAATTAATGGTAATATATTATGGAAAGTAGAAAAAATATCAGTAAGGAATCTAAGGGTTAATTTCACATAACCCTCTCAACTTTGGGGATGTCACATATAACCCTCCCGAACTTTGTTTATCTTAAATAGCCCCCTAAAACTTTTAGATGTCTCACAAAACCCCCTTAAAATTTGAAGTTCTCTCACCAGACCTCTATATGTAATTTGTAAATAAATAAATTTTCCTTGAGAGAAAATAATTCAAACTTTGTTATTTATCATTTGTAGGACATAATACTCCGTATCCTCAAGTTTAGATTTTTTTTCTTCATCTCAATAAAATTTTCCCCAACTATTTTAGTTACTTGCAAATTACAGTGATCAAAAGCACATCTCTCGTTGGAAATGTTCTGCCTGGGTGTGTTCCTCTGATGTGACTAATAAGTATGGAACTCGTTACAAGATTATCATTTCCTACAATCTGAGTCAATATTTGGGTTCCTGCCTGAGGTTTACATTTCCGATCCGGGACTATCTGAAATCTGAAACTGTTGGAGCTTTCTTGGATTTGGATTTTTCTTCCTCTAGCCTCGGGCATCTATTTTACTGCAAGTTTCAACAAAACAATCTTTGTGAATTTTTATCTAAAATATGTTGATTCCTAATCATTTTGCCATATCAAGTTGAAACGTTACTCAAAGAAGATAAAAGGCAATGATGGTGCTTATATGAACATGAATGACTCAAAAGCGAATTTAGGAATGCAAGTATACCTATAAAATGAGCCTGAAAACAAATACAGGACTGTGGAAGTCCATGGATTTTTCCGAGCTTTCCAAGGCATTCAGATAAATATCTTCTCTTGGTTCATCATTCACTCCGCTCTGCGTTGCATACTCTAATGCCATCTCGTAATCCACCTGATGAGATTCAAGTCAGTAGGACCCTATTACATTAGCTTTCATAAAGTCTAAGCATAAATATTTGCTCAATCTAGAGTATATCATGTAAAAGTTCGGCGAGAGTTTTGGGAGTTACCTGTTCAACATACTGAGCAAGATTTTCCCTAAAGGTCACTTCAGTTAAGTCCTGAGATGCTATTTTCCTTACCAATTCAGCATCCTCTCCACGGTAACGCTGTCGCTTTGACTCATGGCCAGCCATCTCATTCAGAACGTCCATTACTGCCCTTGATGCATCAGGGATATATCTAGACATGATATTATCAAAAATAAATTCACCAAATTAATAACTCAACTCCAACTTTTTACACTCAGTCAAGGCACTATATAGTCTCAATTTTTGCTATCAGGTACGGTTTTGCTTGGTGAACTCCAATTACCAAATATAATAATTCCATGAGGATTTATAAACTTTTTGTAGCTATTTTATGATCATGAAGATTTGTGCAAAATGAATTGATATTTTGACAATTATTCAAGCATTACACGCTCATACATGGAGATATGCATATGCACACACATGTAGTAAGCTAATCATTATTTAAAAGGAGCATTCTTCAATATTACCCTGTGCATGATTCAGGTATCACAAACAGACATCAACCGATTTTGTTTGGAGAATAATCTGAAGATTTACAGACAACCAATAAACTAGTGAACAGTTCAAAGATGATTTTCTATTTCAGACAGTGGTGTGACAGGTAGCAATATGTCACTTGTAGGAGGATAACCATCCTCCTTTTCTATGTAATTAAATGTGGACATAGCAGATGCTGCAACTCGGAGCACACTCCAGTTGAGATGCCAAATCAAATTAATGACATGAAAAATAGATTCTCGTCAAAGACTATAACCTGGTTAGATTCCGCTTTCTGTCCTGCCGCTCACGATCTTGAAGTTTCTTCACTATCTTGGACTTTAGTTGGTTACAGCACTGTTGGATAGCTGACTGCAAATATTGCATGGCCAATGTTTATTAGCTTAATCTATCCTGTGCGGCTATCAAGATAAGAGGAAGTCTGGTTACCTTGACAGCTGATGCAATTTCAGTTATATCATCCCCAATATATTCCTTCCCAGTCCCTTTGAAGGGTATTTTTGTGCTTACAATGCTGACAAACACCCCAATTTTATCTTGGACCTGATTAATCTTGTAGTTGTTCCAGCTAAAAGAGGAAAAAGGAAATTGTTACATGATCAACATTAAAAAATTAAAACAATGTTCAGTTAGCTTTTACCGAAAGATAAATCCATAGACTTACTTGATCCTTTTTAAGGCAGTCCTTGTTACAACATCAGCCCCTTGTTCAAAAAGAAGAGGTATCCGATTTGCGAAGCGGAAAATATTTAAGCCCTGTAATTGAGATGATGGGAATCAGCATCAGTTCAGTAATAAATGTGAAAAATACATATAGCGAGTAATACTTTGATATATAACTATGGCGTAGCCCCACAAAAATTATAACCATAAAAATTGCCATAGGAATTTGCCATCATTTATAGAAATGCTTGCCTGTTTAACATCTTTTCCTCCCAAGCTAATTCCAGCTTCAACAATAAATGGATGGCCTTCAAAAACTTGAGGGCTATATTTGAAATGCCAAAATTATTGAAAGAGAGACAATCGGGATGAAGATATAATGGCAAAACAAAATCAATTGAAACTGATCTTAAACTCCAAAAATACAAGACTTATTATTCTGACTTAGACATATGAAAACATTGCGGAATAAATGGCATGCAGAAGCTTCCACAAGAACAGAACCAGGATTGTATTTGTATTAAAATAAAAGCAGTTTTCTGATTGAACCTTAGTAAATTTCCAACCTTCCTGCATAAGTTGCAACCATGTCCGGCTGCAGCTCCTTTATTATTCCTAGTCGCAAATTGTATTCGCCTGCAGGACTAAGACACTGCAGATTTGTATGATGATAAGTCTGTGCACTGAAGGAAACAAATAGACTGTGGTATTAAATTTAATGAAAGGACAAGGTGGAAGGGAGAGAGCCAACTTACATCGCCGCTGGGGTCATCGAATTTAGCCTGCCGAAATAACTGATGAATTCTAACAATTTGCTGGGATGAAAGATTTTTCACAGTCATCTTAGGACTAAAATCTGGGCCCATCTCCTCTAGAAACAGAAACCAACAGAATTGTTACATAGAAAGGAAGTCAGTGTGCAAGTTGTAATGACGACTGAATGCAGTGTGATCCTAATGTTTCACAATTTTAACATTTAGCTACTTTGATAACTTTAACTGCTTTGCAAGATCAATAATAAAAAAAATTCAAGAATAAAACTCAAGTAGTAACAGGGAACTGACAAGCTAATCCCCTTACTGGAGTCAACAATGGTGTAATCATTTAAAATGGCAGAACGCATCTAATACAAAAGAAAACTAATATACTAAGACTAAAATGAAGGAGCTTATTAGATGCTCACGATTCTGTTACTTATTGCTGCTCTACAGTAAACAATAAGGTCCATCATAATAAAAGATTATCCTTCTCCCCGTAAGACACCTTCCCCTACAGGCTAAGCCATGATTTAAAAGACGCCTCCAATAACAACATAAGTCAATTAAGAACAGAAGGACTCCTTACCTAAGGGTTCGCTTGGCTTTGAAGTTTCCAACACTACAACTATTTCTATGCGTTTGTAGATTGGTAAACTGTAGTTTGCAAATGTTCAACTGTGGTTTCTAAATTGTAGTTTCGATATATAGCCTGTGAAAAGAGTGGAGTTTTCTTCCGCTGAATATTTGGATGAAAGATGAAAGGGAAGGACGAGTTCCAGACAGAAAAGAAGAAGTGGGCAGGTAAAAATAGAAGGAAAAGGCTTCTCTTGTTCTTACATGTTTCAGAATTAGCAAAAATCCAGTCTTACTCGATTTCGTAAAATGCAGATAATCCAAACTTTTGAGATTAGACAACTGCAGTTTATGGAACTACGAATGATATCTAATACTCTGTTTTTTGGAATATCGGGGTTTGGCGATTTTAACAGTGGAACACAACAGTCAAAAAACTAGGCTATAAAGCAAAACAGGTAGAAGCTTCAAAATAATCTTCGCATCTACTATTCTAAATATTATCCCACGTGAGAAGTCATAATTGATACTATTGCTAAGTATCTTTACATTAATAGTTTGAAAAAAATTTCACAGCATGAATAAAAGTTTGGATTGTATATAAACAAGATTCTAATATGCAAATTTGAATGACAAATGACATGCATGATTTAATGTTTACCGATTAATCGTTCGGCATAGGCTTTGCCAATTTTCACAAATTCATGCTGAAGAAACTGCAGAAGATTTTGCTTTGAAGTTTCTGCAATTAGGCGTTTAATGAGGAGCAAATCAACAGCAGAAGGATGGTGCTTTGTCTCAAGCGGAACTGGAGGCATCACATCTGTTCTTCGTGCAAATCGTATGGTCACATTTTTGCTATGTAAACAAAAGAATATAATTAGCTTAAGAGAGAAGGAAAAGTTAATAGTATAAGTTTCAGATAGATGAAAGGTATTTAACTAACTCTGCCATGTCTGAAATGAATTTAAAGAGGAACTGTGCATAAGGTGTGATAACAGCCATCTGGCGCATATAATGTAGTATCTTTGACTGCATCCAAGAGAAAAATACATGATAACCCATTACAATTTTAATAAAAACATGTATTCAACATTTGAAAAAGAAAAAGTTGCACTTTCCAAAATGTTATGGTAAAAAACAATTTCCTGAAAATCATAAGAAAAAAAACTATGAAAAGAAGCAAACACTCACTCGATATGTCGTCCAATTACCCTCAATAATAACTTGGATTTCTGCACCATGCCACTCACTTTTATTTTCTCTTTTCTCATGCAAATGAACATGAGGAATGTTTCTGGTTTGGGTAAGTATTCTCAATTAGTAAAGAGATAAAATTGAATGTACGAATATCGGGGAGGCTAACTAATTGAGAAAGAGTGAAGTTCAGATAACTTCTACATACCGATGAATATCTATATCAAGACGACAAAATGAAATGTAATTTTGGCCCTTCATGGATGAAGCAATCTCAATCGGTAGCCCGGTGCTCATCTTGGACCAGATCAGCGCCTGTGTCAATACATCACATGTTACAAATAACAAGTTTATAATATGTTTGTTGGAACATACATGAGCAAATCAAAGGCATACTCAATTTGTAATATACCAACTTGAGTGGTGATGGATCCAGAAATACTTCAACTCAATATAAAAATAATTTTGTTAGTATTTAGTTGCGTTCCTACAGTTGTGTTGTCCCTATCCATGTCCTTAGTCCCAAAATAAATAAAAATAATAATTAATTAATTAACAATAACAATTATTATTATTATTATTATTAACAACAAGAATAACAATAACAATAGCAATAGCAATAATAGTAAATAACAATAATAGTACTAGTAATGACAATAAAAACAATGTGGTCCTTATCATTCAGAAAAAATCCATTGGGCTGCCATTTTATAGATGAACATGTGCTCATGAAAGATGAGATTTGAGAATATGATAACAATGCAACATTAAGCAGGTGAAATTGACCAAGATGAAGGTATAAAGCCTAGACCCTATCATAAGTGCATGTATCACTCCTCAGCCTTTCAGCCTTTTATATTTAGAAGTTTGCTCTTAGAGACCAGTCAATATTTTTGCATCCAATTGTTCTCAAGGCAAGGAGTCATTGTCGAAAGTAGACTTTATTCAGCAAGAGTGATTAGTAAAGGTGGATTCCAACTACTCGTCTATGACAAGTCAAGCCCTAAGCAGGTGATAGGACTGACTGATTTTTCTCAGAAAGAGCTTTCAAGTACCTAAGCTAAAGACTGTGACTAGTCAGTAACACAACATGAATAAACCAGATCTCACCATTTTGGCACCAAGTCCAAATTTCCCACGAGTTTGCTTCAATCCATACTTTGTGCCGGATAGAACTGCAGACCAATATTAGCAAGCATTTACCAAATTGTAGCGAAATCCAATGTCTCAAAGATCCTTCAGGATAAAAGATTATATATCATATGCCCCGGACTTATTCAAATGTTTTATGACTTAGAATAGCAAAAGACAACATCAGACCTCTTCCAAACATATTGGGAATGTCATCATATGGCATTCCTCTCCCATTATCCTGCAGCAAATAATAATTAGGACAGTTAGTTGAGAAGGATATTTGGCTTTTGTGTCTGGTAAAGTTGTGTCATTCGTGGAATAAGAATGGTAGAATCAACCACACATTTGACAGCAATAACAAGAAGAATACGAAAAGGCATAAGAGAAAGTAATAGGAATAACTCAGATGGACAAAAATGTACACCTTGCAGGTAACCCTGAAGAATGATGCTTCACCTCTTCCTTTTGCTCCCTTTGATGATGCTGGCTCTTTGAGCTTCTTACCAAGGGCAGCATTCTTAGCTTGAATTTCTTGATTGCGGGCTTCTTTAGCAAGCCGTTTCTAAATGCCATAAATAGTACAATCAAGATGGTTGTTTTCAGAATATCTGAATTCTAAAGGTGAATATACATAAATTAAAAAAAAATGAAGCATGAATCTTTACTTTGATTCATATAAAAAATACTGAACTACACACCTCACGAGCCTTAGCTGACTCAAAGTCATCATACAGTTCTTCATCAACGCGCTCCCGATCGATGAGACCTATCATTGTATTGAACTTGCTTTTACTTATCTCCTCTCTGCAATGCAATCCAACCGAAGAACTCAAACAATCATAATGCTTATGATCCAAGCACAACAAATGGTCAAAATTATTAGGTCTTACATTGTTATTTCAATGACTGGGAGTTCGGAAATAGACTCTGCTGAATCCAGAGAATTTTCAACAAGCTCTCGAACTGTTGTGTACAGAGATTTTCCAGGCTACATATAACAAAAATCAAATTTCAATCAACAAATCTTCCAAACTCCAATAAACATCAACATTTCAGTAGCAGCACGCGTTAGACTTCACTTTGCTAATATTCCTACAATAGTTGCTCAAAATGCTGGCCGCCCGCGACAAAATACATGGGAAATATCAGCTTAATAAGAAGCTTCTAAGCTATCAGTCTCAACAAAACACTCATTTTCTACCCTCCGAATGCACTTCAAGAAACTCAAGCATGTCTAATGTCCATTTCTACAGGTACTAGATTTTCAAAGAACATTGGTCATCAATATTAGCTCAATTTGCACTGAGCAACATCCAAGCATTCAACAAAACTTCTACTACTAGTTTCAAAATGGACAATAACACTAGAGAGGAGCTCACATTATCGAATCCAGCAATGTTTTTGTTCTCGGCGAAGAACTCCGCCGGGGATTCTACAAGACAAACAAGTTCACCCTCAAATCACTTACAAGTCACAGATCGATTGAAGAGAGACGAGTAGAAAAATGAATGCTGAGGAGGAAATTACTTTGCTTTAGCACGCTCTCCTTGGTCTTTTTGGGCGCCTTCGATCGGCCTTTCTTTGGCTCCTCCGGGCTCCCGCTGCTGCCATTGAAATCCATCCAGATCCAGAGATCGACCGCCAATAATATGATTGAGGATCTAGGGTTTGGGCGGAGATCGCCGGCGGCAGTTAGGGTTAGGGTTTTGGCAGTGGATCGAGGGGAAGAAAGTTAGGGCTTGGAGAGCGGAGAAATGGCGGGCTGGGTTTTTTTCATGTTTTAGGAAAAGGGGCACGTTGTAATTAAATGGGTTCTTTTATTTTTTTTTAAGGTGGCCGCCCCAAATTTGTAACCGCTTACACATTACCACTCTTAATTATCCGAGTTTCATAAAGCCACTTTTATGTGCCATTTCGTTAACATATAGGGGCTGTTTGGTTCCAACTTTTTTAGTGTGAAAACAGGGGAAAGCCTGCCACAGTGTCCCATCTGTGGCAGGTTTCACCCCAAAATCGCGCCAAAAAAAGCTGTTTTGGGTGATTTCTGACAAGTTTCTGACAGTATGGCAGGGATTCAACAGAAAAAAATGAGAACCAAACGCACCCTGAGCCACCTGTGTCCTGTTTCGTCCTTTTTTTTCTGTTAATATTATGAAACACACTGATGACGTCCTCTAGCTGAAATTGTTGGTGCAAGAAAATAAGTTTTTCTTCATTTTGTTACCTGAGTCCTGTTTCGTCTATTTTTTCCGTTAATATTATAAAACATACTGATCACGTCCTCTAGCTAAAATTGTTGGTGCAAGAAAATAAGTTCCTCTTCATTTTGTTGTTTTTTGCAGCCTTTGTTATGAAGTCTTAAATCGAAGGACTATAGTAAATGTTTGTTTTCTTTATCATGGTGACCTTTAATAAATATATGTATTATGTATGTGTTACTTATGATTGAATGCTTGTTCGAGATGCCAAAATATTTACGGTTACCATATCTGCATTTTCATTTGACTCCTTTTTTTTTCATGTCAGCCCTCAACGTGCGTATTGTACACATAGAGGTAAAATCGCCAAACAGAAGTATATTAAGGGTGGTTTTGCGAAACATAGTTATTAAGGGTGGTAATGTGCAGTATGGTCTAAAGTTGGGGGTGCTCGCCGAGGAAAAACACCCAAAATTTGTTCCCAAATTATTCTCTAAAATCCTCCGCGGGAGAGCAGAACGGAACCCGACTTATTTCTCCGTCCCGGGTCGTTTTTAAAGGATAACGCTCTCCTCTATCCAATCCTTCACTCTGAAAACCCCAAATTTCCCCCCAGAAACCCTAATTTTCGATCGAAAATGACAACAATCTCTTCTCTATTTCCCCCCAATCTCTTCTACAACTCCAAAACCCTAACCAAAACCCCGAACGCATTGGTATCTACATGGTGTCCGAGCGCTCTAGCTTCCTCTAGAAACCCTCGACCTTCAAATTCTTCAGTTTCATGCTCAAGCCCTAGAAGAAACAAGCTGGTGGTTTTGGCGGCAACCGCGGAAGCGACGGCTCAGGATTCTGAGGTGCAGAGGAGGCTGTATATTGGGAATATTCCAAGGGATGTTGATAATGAGCAGTTGGCTAAGATTTTTGGGGAGCATGGATCAGTGGAGAAAGCTGAGGTATTATCTCTTTTTGAATTCTTTTTGTTGTTTTTTTTTTGTTGAATTAGAAAGTTGCACTTTTTTTTCCTAGTGTGCGTTTTTGTTTGAGGAGGGAGTGTTATGAAAATGAATTTGTTTCCTACTTTTTTTTTTATCATGGGGGTTTGGGAGTTCCAATGCTAGCTTGACGAATCAACCATAGACTTTTTTCTATTTTACATTTGATAACTGTACCATGGTTGCTTGAGTGGAGATGGAGGATATGATCTACCTTTATTTACTACTATGTTCTCTTTGGTAGAAGTGTGAGGTGAAACTGGATATTCTTTTCTACACTAAAAGATGATTACTTTAAGCTTCGAGGAAATTTATTCTATGTTGAATGAATTGTGAATGTTTAGTAGGACATAAGACCTGTGATCTAATCCTAAAGACAAATTTTGAAAGCCCCTTTACTTAACTGGCTGGCCTGAGGTCGTAGATGACTTGAACATGGCATCCTATATCTATATTAAAAATGATTGAAATAACATCATTTTTTGGCGCAACCTTTGTCTAGTGGAAGTATCAACCCTCACAAAGCCGCGAACTCGCGGGTATCGTGGTGGGGCTGAAAAGAAAACCTTTCATGTTTTAGGAAAAGGGGCACGTTGTAATTAAATGGGTTCTTTTATTTTTTTTTAAGGTGGCCGCCCCAAATTTGTAACCGCTTACACATTACCACTCTTAATTATCCGAGTTTCATAAAGCCACTCCCACCATAAGGCTGTGGCTCGTGCGTTTCGCGGGTATCGTGGTGGGGCTGAAAAGAAAACCTTTCATGTTTTAGGAAAAGGGGCACGTTGTAATTAAATGGGTTCTTTTATTTTTTTTTAAGGTGGCCGCCCCAAATTTGTAACCGCTTACACATTACCACTCTTAATTATCCGAGTTTCATAAAGCCACTTTTATGTGCCATTTCGTTAACATATAGGGGCTGTTTGGTTCCAACTTTTTTAGTGTGAAAACAGGGGAAAGCCTGCCACAGTGTCCCATCTGTGGCAGGTTTCACCCCAAAATCGCGCCAAAAAAAGCTGTTTTGGGTGATTTCTGACAAGTTTCTGACAGTATGGCAGGGATTCAACAGAAAAAAATGAGAACCAAACGCACCCTGAGCCACCTGTGTCCTGTTTCGTCCTTTTTTTTCTGTTAATATTATGAAACACACTGATGACGTCCTCTAGCTGAAATTGTTGGTGCAAGAAAATAAGTTTTTCTTCATTTTGTTACCTGAGTCCTGTTTCGTCTATTTTTTCCGTTAATATTATAAAACATACTGATCACGTCCTCTAGCTAAAATTGTTGGTGCAAGAAAATAAGTTCCTCTTCATTTTGTTGTTTTTTGCAGCCTTTGTTATGAAGTCTTAAATCGAAGGACTATAGTAAATGTTTGTTTTCTTTATCATGGTGACCTTTAATAAATATATGTATTATGTATGTGTTACTTATGATTGAATGCTTGTTCGAGATGCCAAAATATTTACGGTTACCATATCTGCATTTTCATTTGACTCCTTTTTTTTTCATGTCAGCCCTCAACGTGCGTATTGTACACATAGAGGTAAAATCGCCAAACAGAAGTATATTAAGGGTGGTTTTGCGAAACATAGTTATTAAGGGTGGTAATGTGCAGTATGGTCTAAAGTTGGGGGTGCTCGCCGAGGAAAAACACCCAAAATTTGTTCCCAAATTATTCTCTAAAATCCTCCGCGGGAGAGCAGAACGGAACCCGACTTATTTCTCCGTCCCGGGTCGTTTTTAAAGGATAACGCTCTCCTCTATCCAATCCTTCACTCTGAAAACCCCAAATTTCCCCCCAGAAACCCTAATTTTCGATCGAAAATGACAACAATCTCTTCTCTATTTCCCCCCAATCTCTTCTACAACTCCAAAACCCTAACCAAAACCCCGAACGCATTGGTATCTACATGGTGTCCGAGCGCTCTAGCTTCCTCTAGAAACCCTCGACCTTCAAATTCTTCAGTTTCATGCTCAAGCCCTAGAAGAAACAAGCTGGTGGTTTTGGCGGCAACCGCGGAAGCGACGGCTCAGGATTCTGAGGTGCAGAGGAGGCTGTATATTGGGAATATTCCAAGGGATGTTGATAATGAGCAGTTGGCTAAGATTTTTGGGGAGCATGGATCAGTGGAGAAAGCTGAGGTATTATCTCTTTTTGAATTCTTTTTGTTGTTTTTTTTTTGTTGAATTAGAAAGTTGCACTTTTTTTTCCTAGTGTGCGTTTTTGTTTGAGGAGGGAGTGTTATGAAAATGAATTTGTTTCCTACTTTTTTTTTTATCATGGGGGTTTGGGAGTTCCAATGCTAGCTTGACGAATCAACCATAGACTTTTTTCTATTTTACATTTGATAACTGTACCATGGTTGCTTGAGTGGAGATGGAGGATATGATCTACCTTTATTTACTACTATGTTCTCTTTGGTAGAAGTGTGAGGTGAAACTGGATATTCTTTTCTACACTAAAAGATGATTACTTTAAGCTTCGAGGAAATTTATTCTATGTTGAATGAATTGTGAATGTTTAGTAGGACATAAGACCTGTGATCTAATCCTAAAGACAAATTTTGAAAGCCCCTTTACTTAACTGGCTGGCCTGAGGTCGTAGATGACTTGAACATGGCATCCTATATCTATATTAAAAATGATTGAAATAACATCATTTTTTGGCGCAACCTTTGTCTAGTGGAAGTATCAACCCTCACAAAGCCGCGAACCGTATCAATTGCATATATTTTAGCTCTCATGAAAATTCTTTCTTCATCATTTGTTCATTGTAGTGCAAAAAAGTTTCACTAGGGGTAATCAGTCTGTAGCCATTGAGGGCTAATGTTTCTTTTGAAGGATAATGCCACATGAACATGATCATGCTGGAAATCATTCTTGAAATGAGATGGAGGTGACTACTTTTAGAGTTTTCAGTAAACTGGATATTCATGTCCAACCGTAGGAGTGGTATTTCCGTGGCTGTCCCTCCAAATAATTGGTGCTTCATTTTGATGTATTATGATTTTATGTTTTTCATGCACTTGCACTCAAACTTCTTGTGGGCAATTGCAACTGACGTGCCTTTGATTGTTACTCCTTGTTTGTAGATTGTAGTAGACACAAGTGAAGTTAGATTAGTAATTGGTCCCTGTGTAACTTCAGAGACCCAAATGACGAAAATCACACTAAAAAAGTTTATCTAACCTGGACCGTAATTCATTGCAAACTTTTGTCTTTTCCTCCCATATTTTTCCATTTGTTCATAAGTTTAGTTTTAGTGCGTTCTTCCTTTATTGTTCCTCCTCTAGTTCTTTTTGGTGGCTTTGAGAAATGACGTGGTACTTTATCTTTCATAGGTTATGTATGATAAATACTCTGGCAGGAGTCGGCGCTTTGCTTTTGTCACAATGAGCACAATAGAGGATGCCAATGCTGCTATTGAGAAGCTTAATGACACTGTTAGTTTCAATTAACTTTTTTATGCATGTTCATTTTTGTTCAGCGCCTTGGTTTAAGGAACATGCCTAAAATAGTGGTATCACGTACCAACAGGAAATTGGAGGCAGGAAAATCAAAGTGAACGTGACAGAAAAACCCTTGCAGCCTGTTGATTTGTCGCTTCTTCAACCTGATGATGAATTTACTGACAGTCCTTACAAGGTTTATGTGGGAAATCTTGCAAAGACAGTTACCTCTGAAATCCTTAGCAAATTCTTCTCTGAGAAGGGAAATGTTCTCGGTGCAAAAGTGTCCCGGGTGCCTGGAACCTCAAAATCTAGTGGCTTTGGCTTTGTCTCATTCTCCTCTGAGGAGGAAGTTGAAGCTGCTATATCATCATGTAACAATGCCGTAAGTTCTGAACCTCTGTACCACATTTATACATTCATGATTGATAGGAATTTTCATACACGCTTCATGTATGACTAGTATTAATCATGACAATCAGAAGATAAAGAACCATTGATTGGTATGCATTCGTTTCGTACATGTTTCATTTATGACTAGTACTAGGTCCATGTACCTTTGCCTTAGTAGTAGAAGCTTACAAACCATTCCGCCCTTGCATTTATCACTATCAGTGATGAAATTTCACCACATTGTTACATGTTTTTGCGTCATTTTGCCTTGCAACAACTATGAAATGTGTAAAATTGGCAAATTGCAGTTACGACACCACATAGCGACATCGTAGTTTACCTTTCTAATATTTATCTATTTTTTCAGTTTTTGGAAGGGCAACGGATCCGTGTCAACAAAGCCTAATGCTGATGAAGCTTTGGAAGTCTTCAAAATGCCTGTATTTTTGTATATTAGGATAGGCTTTGATGGAATTTCCAAAGACTTATTTTCTCAGAAGCAACAAATATGAACAGGATTGCAGCTGATGCATCTTTTGGAATCAGTTTATATGTGCGACCCCTTTTTGGGACTGTCAGCTTGTTCATTTTGCATTGCTAAAATGTGGGCAGAACTCCACTTCTGTGCTTTTGCTTGCCACTTCGTCGTGATGTATTTATTTTGAGTAACAGTGCATTGTTGTGGAGAATGAGAAATGAGAAACACATTTTGTTCTCATCATTTTTTTCTCTTTTGTTCTTCGCCGGCTTTTTTCTGTTCTTCTGTTTCTCTGGCTGATCAGTATGATCTATGAGAAGGACAGCGAAGCCTCAGAGGATCCTTGTGTTATGACTTTTCTAGTCTTAAGCATTTCCATTGAATCGAGCAATTAAGTTGCAACTTTATCCGCGTCCAAGAAGATGAAATTGCTTGTTATAACCTAGTCCCGTCAAGGTCTAGAAAATGTTTTCTATTTTGTACATAGTAATTGCACCAGTACAAGTAACCGGAGCATCCAAGTATTCAAGTAGTAAATGTACAAAATAATTATCGAATATGACTGAATAGTTATTTAAACAATTATCGAACTATTTGTTAATTATTTGGTTCATTTATATCCCTAGACGTGTTAGCAATTTACATAATTTGTTGGACTGCTTTTAAAATATTATAGATTTGATGGACTAATATTAAAATAATTCTTAGTTTTTTGTGGGGGCCACTCATTAACATTGAGATAATCAATTACTAATGTTAAATTTTTTACGATGGGCACATTAGCATTGGCGACGGATCAAATCCGTCGTCAATACTTATTGGCGACGGATTCAATCCGTCACCAATGTTCTCCCGTCGCAAATAAGTATTGGCGACGGGAAACATTGGCGACGGATTTGATCCGTCGCTAATAAGTATTGGCGACGGATTTGATTCGTCGCCAATAAGTATTGGTGACGGGATTGTTCTCGTCGCCAATGCCCAGTTTTTTACTAGTGTTGATGAGTGAGCGATTTTCATATGTGCCCCTTATACTATCATATATCGCCGACCCTCCCAACTAGATAGATGAGCTATGTGCGTACGTACCCCTTACATTACTATATATCACCAAACCTCCTAGACTATAAAAATAATTTGCAGCAGGCTGAATGACTGTAAATTAATATCTCCAGCTGTGCATTAATTTTACGCGATGGAAGAAAAAATTAAGGGAAGAACAAATTAAGAGTGAGTGAGTTAGTTTACAGCCAGCCCCCTCTACAGATCAGTCCCTGCTCTCTGAAGCAGGAATCATCCATACGGGCGTGGCCTCTCCGCACAAATCGCCCTCCAGGCACCGAAGGTGCGCCGAAACAAACCCTTCCTCCAGGTCGAAACAATACACGCACCCGTCGTCGTCGTCTTCCACGTAGTACAGGCAGTTCCCTTTGATGCCGAGTTCAGGCGACGAGCACGAGGCCGTCGAGCGGCCGCTGCACCCCAGCAGAAAGACGATGGCCGCCGATGCTGTCGACTGCAGCCCATTCTTGCTCTCTGAAGTCCCTCTTCATGATGGAAATATGGACTGTTTTCCCCGTGTGATCATAAAACCGTTCGATGAAAAACAACTCGCCACAGGATTGCAGCACGTATATCTGGAAACTACCATCCACTCCAAAAGGATACTCGGTATTATCGGCTCCAAAATATTTACTCCGGGGTTAGGAGGACAATCGATCGTTGCGAAGTTCCCTTCGCGCGTTACGCCGCAGAACTTGTCGTCATCAAAAGCAGTAATACAATGGATCGGGTTATTGCAGCCGAGGTCGTATTTGTACTCCGTCCATTGCTGCTCATGATCTGAAGGTCGGCAGAATAAGAACGTGCACTCCCGTTTGTTGGCAACTAATACCCTGCACTCTGGACTCGTTGGTGATGAAGAGGACAGGATGCAGTCACAGTCTTCGAGATCCCATGTCGGTGGTCGAGGCAGTACTACCTTGGTCGCCGTCATCAGATCTCGTAAATAACAAGAGTCGTCGTGAGGGTTCATGGTTAAAAGCCATCCTTGAGGAGTTGGGATGAAAATATCATCTTGAGCCTGGGAAATATTTTTAATGCAAGATCTTTCTCCTGTCAAGCTGTAGAAATATTGTTCTTCTATTCCGTCTGGACTCTCACAGAAGATGTTGGGCGCAGAGTCACGCCCACCGCCGCGGAAGCGATATCACCTGAGAGAGAGTCCTGACTTTTGTTTGCACAAAGTACAAGTCAACCTCGAAATCTGTGTTTCGCGAAGGAAACCTAGACTCAGTAGCGAAATATCTCAGCGAAGTGAGATATCCACTCTTCCTCTCATCAGCGCAAGACCGAATTTTGAGGGATCCTACAAGCAATAGCCAACAACCCAGAAAAACAGTAAAAATACACGAGATTTACGTGGTTCGGCAAACTAGCCTACGTCCACGGGAGGGGGTTTCACTATGAGGAGAATACCAAACTTAATACAAGTTTTATCTCAACTCTCTTTTCTTTTCTCTCTAAGAAAACTCACAAACCTAATTGTTTTCTCCACAATTTTCCCACTTAATATTTTTCCCCACACTAAAACACCTCCACCACCTCTCCTATTTATAGGAGAAAACAAAGGGGAGGTGGGGCTGAAGAGTTGGCGGGCTGATGGGGCGGGAGAGAAAACTCCCGCGGGAAAAGTCCCGCGCTCAGGAGCTGCAGCGGGAAAAACTCCCGCGCTCGGGAGCTGGGAGCGGGAAAGATTCCCTAACCGTAGTTCTGCAATCATTCTCCAACATAGTCTCCACCTCACCTCCATCACTGCCCCGCAGGGCCAAACCCTCTTGGGCAAATCAACACGGGCTGATATGAAGCAAGTCCAAGCAATGCTGGAACTTGCTACCTGTGACCACCTTGGTTAACATGTCCGCGGGATTCTCATTTGTATGCACCTTCATGAGAGAAATATCGCCTTCCTCTATGACATCCCGCACAAAATGATACCTGACATCGATATGCTTGGTACGAGCATGGTGAACTTGATTCTTCGCCAAGTGAATCGCACTTTGACTGTCGCACCACAGGTTCCACGCTCTCGATACTGCTCAATCCCCAAGTCCGTCTAGAAACGGTTGTCCCCACAGCCACCAATGCTTACTTCACTCCTCGCGTCCATAGCCATGTACTGCGGCGCTCTGTTGTAGAAAGTGTGCCACTGTAGGGCCTGCAAGCAGATGATGCGCGAGACACGTAACTGGAGCTTCCAATGTATGCCTGAATAATAGCCCAGTAGTAGATAAGACGTCTATGCTAGATGCGCCCGCATAATCTGAGTCTACATACTCCGTCGACCTGAACATGTATCTGCCACCAAAACAGCAGACGCCGTATCCGCGGTAGCCTTTCAAGTACCTCAGGACCCATTTCAAACCGCCTTCCCAGTTGCGCACTTTTCCAGGATTCGCCATGAAAATCTGCTGACCAAGACTAACACGCCTGTGAAATATCCTGGGCGTGTACACACATTGCCGTAATCAAACTGCCAACTGCAGCCTAGCATAGGGAAGTACGCTCCATGTGTGCCTTATCTTCCGCTGTAGTGGGAGATTGTTTACCTGAAAGCCTGAAGTGTTGAGCCAATGGAGTCACCACCGACTTAGCACTTTGCATCCCGAACCTCGTGATCACCCGCTCTATGTAGCCCTTCTGACTCAAGAACAATCGCCGATTCGCCCGCTCTCTTCTAATTTTCATACCCAGTATTTTCTTTGCAGCGCCCATGTCCTTCATCTCGAACTCATTGCTAAGTTGAGATTTTAGCTTATCTATCTCCACCTTATTTTTCGATGCAATAAGCATGTCATCCACATATAACAGGAGATAGATATAATCACCTCCACGAAGCTTCCGAATGTAAACACAACAATCATAGTCGCTTCGGGAAAACCCATGCTTCAGCATGAAGGAGTCAAATCGCTTGTACCACTGTCGCGGAGATTGCTTCAATCCGTAAAGTGACTTCCTCTTTTGGACTTTATTTGTTATTTTTAACATATTTTTAAAAGTCTCAAAAACTGTTTACAAAAACCTGTAAAAACCCCATGTATCAGTTCGCGGTCGACCACCTGTAGTTCATAATTCATTTTGCCTTTTTATGGATCACGGTCGACCGTGACGGTCGACCGTGGCAAATCCAGAGACTTTCGCGGTCGACCGCCTGCTTTCCATAGCCTTTCTTCAGCTTTTTGTTGCTCGCGGTCGACCGTCACGGTTGATGCGGCATAAACATGTACCAAAAAGGTTGCAAGTGCACAACCGTGTCAAGTTATAGTATTTAAGATATCGATCCCACGAGGAAGGTGTTTTGTAGAAGAAAATATAAAATTGGTTCTTATTTCGTGTACGTGACAAATAGGAGTGATGAGTAAATGTGATTGTGGAGAGATAATGAGAGTGAAAGTGATAGTGTGTGAAACGGCGCAAAATTTAAGTGAGAGTGGATGTGACAAAGAAGGAGTGTGATCAATAAGGTGAGAAGGAAAAAAACTTATTTCGTGTACGTGACAAATAGGAGTGATGAGTAAATGTGATTGTGGAGAGATAATGAGAGTGAAAGTGATAGTGTGTGAAATGGCGCAAAATTTAAGTGAGAGTGGATGTGACAAAGAATGAATATGATCAATAAGGCAAGAAGGAAAAAGAAAATAAAAATCAAGAATAAAGAAAATAAAATTCAAGAATAAAAGAAAATGCAAGAAATTAAAGATGGTGGATTCAATTATAGATATGGGTAATCTACAATTGAACCCACTTCTTAGAAAAGGGTGATTCCCTAGAGGGTTCTAGCCTAAAGGCGAATCAAACAAAATAAAAATAAACAAAAAGAAAAACTAAACCCAAGAGGGTTCTAGCCTCAAGGTGAATAGTATAAGAAATTAAAATCTAACTACAAAATAAATTGCAAAATCTAATTACAAAATAAAATTGCAAGAATTAAATGCAAGAAAATAAATCTACTCTATAAGCATGAAATAAATCTAAGGCAAGAGGGTTCTAGCCTCTTGGCTATTTAACAAGAAAAATAAAATCTAATTACAAGCATGAAAATAAATCTAACTAATAAGCAATAAAAGAGAAATAAAAGAGAAAAAGGAAAGAAATGCAAACCTTCAAATAATTCTCCATCTTCATCTTCATCTTCATCATCCAACAAAGAGAAGAAGAGAAAAATTTAAAGTGGTGAAAAAATTATTATTA